CAAAGTGCAACACTGAAAGAACATCACACACCAATTTGCTTCCAGCACTTTCACACAAACATCTACTGTCATTATTTTCACCAAACTCTGTGGAGTCCTTTATTGGAAATTCAAATGTGATTCAAATGGTCAGACAAAAGAGGGTTATGAGGAAAGATGATGAAAAGTTGTGTATAAGCAGTTATCAAATCATTTTCCTCATAAACCGGACAACATGACTCACAAACATGTTTTTACAAACTCAGTGTTGGACTTTGATCAGAAGGATAACCCTGATGTTTCAAAGTTTATGATGATTTCCTTTGTCTTCTCCACATCCAGGGACAGGTTGTTGTTGCTGCACCACTCAGTCAGATGGTTAACTTCACTCCTGTAGTCGGTCTCATTTTTGTCGCTGATGTGACCTACCACAGTTGTGTATCTACAAACTCGATGAAGAGGTTGGAACTGTGTCATGGTGTGCAGTCATGGGTCAGCAGAGGGAAGAGAAGAGGAATCAATAGGTATCCTTGGGGAGCCCCTGTATTCAGTGTTCTTATGCTGGAGAGGTTGCTGCCGACCCATACTGTCTGCTGTCCTCCTGTCAGGAAATCTAGCCACCAATTACACTGATCCCCAGCAGATCCAGTTTGTGAATGAGTTGCTGGGGAATGATAGTGTTAAATGCTGAAATGAAGTCTATGAACAGCATTCTAAAGTATAAGTCTCTAGTGTCCAGATGTGTGAGTGAAGGGCAGTTGAAATTGCATCATCAGACAAGCGGTTTGACTGGTATGCGAACTGAAATGGATCAAGGTTGGGGGGAAGAGATGTCTTGATTTGACGCATGACTACCCATTCAAAGCACTTCATAATGATTGAGGTGAGTGCAACCAGTAGTTGTTAAAGCAGGAGGGAGACGACTTCTTTGGTACGGGAATGATGGTGGAGGCTTTGAGACATGTGGGAACGACAGCCTGGCTCAGTGATGCATTAAATATGTCAGTGAATACATCTGAGTTTCACAGCTCATTCCCTCAGCGCTCATACAGGGATGTTGCTAGCACCTGGAGCTTCATGTGTGATCCTACCTACGCACTATCTGAGGATAGTGTCACCACCTGTTAATTGTGGGTGTGTGGAAGTCTTCTGTGTGGGGGTGTAATTCTGTGTCTCAAAGCGAGCAAAGAATTACTTCAGCTCATTTGGTAAAGAGGTGGAACTGACGGCGGTCTGCGGTGCAGGCTTGTAGTCTGCGTTGGTCTGTATCTCTTTTCACAGCCTCCAACTATCTCTGCTGTTACTAAAGCTTTGTGAAATCCTCCTGGAGTACTGCCTTTTTGCCTCTCTAATGCCAATTGACAAGTTTGCCCCTTGCTGTTTTTAGGCTCACCTCATCCCTGGCTCTGAAGGCCACATTTCTCACCCTCAGAAGCCTGTAGACCTCACCTGTGAGCCATGGTTTCTGATTGGCCCTGACAGTGATAGCGCTGTTCTCTGAGACACCATCCATGCATTTTGAAATGTAGGCAGTGACAGTTTCTGTATATTCCTAAGGTCTGAGTTGTTGCCATGTGCGATGGCCTGTTTAAAGATCTGCCAATCTGTGGCCAAAAACAGTCTTGCAGTGCCTCTGAGGACCATTGTGGGCATACACGTACCTGCTTACAAACTGGTGTGGTGACTTTGACCATAGGCCTGGTATTAGCATAACAGTGATGTGATCAGAGGCAACAAGGTTGGGGGGAGGGTGCTTTGTAATCTCCTCTCTGGGTGGTGAAAACATGTTGTTTCCTCATGTAGGAAACTTAATGTGTTCATGCAGTTTGGGAAACACAGTCTTTGTGTCTGCATCATTGAAATCACCCGCTAGGATGAGAAAAGCATCTGTGTGGGCTGTCTGCTGCTCACTGACATGCTGATACAATTCATTTAGTGCCTCACTTCTGTTGTTGTTATTGGAGCAGGGAGGGATGTAGACAGCAACAAACAGCATGGCTGAAAATTCACTCTAGAGGTAAAATGGTCTGTACTTGATGATCATAAGCTCCAGCAGAGGTGAACAGTGTTTTCAGGCCACAACAGCATCACTACACCAAGCATTGTGGATGTAAACACAGAGTCCTCCTCTGCTCTTTTGGCGAGAGATCTGTCTGCTCTAAAGCATATTAGCTGGTCAAGGGGGCCGAATACTTTTGCAAGCCACTGTAAGTCTACATGATCCAGCTTGTTGTCCAGAGAGCGCTCGGAGGACAGTACGATGGTGTGAATAGCAGGTTTCTGTGAATTAGCTGCTAGCTGACTCCACATGCATCCGTCATTACCCCTCTTCTGTTTCCTCTTGTACCAACTGAGACGTTTCTACTGTGGACGAGATCTAGTAGAGAGGGTCACTGATAGGGATGGGTATCGTTTAGGTTTTATCCAATACCAGTACCAAACCGGTACTTCTGAAATTTTGCAGGTGCTTAAACGGTGCTTGAACCAGTGCTTAAAGAATGGACAACACAAACTTTGTCCAAAAACCTCTCATGTTTAGCTGTTTTTTTGTAAAAAGAAAACAATGTTAGCCTTTTCTGCACCTATAGGGGATTTATGGTATCACTCTTGGCTGGAAGCAGTGCTTAATCAATGGGGGAAAAAAACAACTTTGTCCAAAAACCTCTCATCTTTAGCTGTTTCCCACTTTTTCTTTGGTCATTTTAGCTTTTTTGGCCAGGGTGAAGGGAGTATCTGCCATCAAACAAGAAGACAGCTGCATGTAACTACAATGGTGTTTGCTAGTTCACCTTACGTGCATTAATTTAATAACGTAGTTAGCCTACTAAGCGTAAATTACACACAAACAACATTAAGCTACTGACCCAGAGAAGAACGGCTGCTGCTGCCATGATCATCCGTCATCATTTCTGCTCCACTGGCAGGGCTAGGGGCCAGGACTCTCCTCTTCGGGTTTTTGGGGGATGTTGCTAACTCCGGGACCGATAACAGGCACCACACATGCAGCAGATGTGCTGGTGTGAGGTCTCGCAGCAAGCTATCAAATACGGTGCATTTCTTGGCTTTTAAAAAAAACGCTATGCGTCGCCAGGTGTTTCAGATTCGAGGTGTACCTCCTTTGCACAGTATCACCTTAAAGCACTTGTTGCAGGCTGCTGAGTTTGCATCTTTTGCTGTGAAGTACAGTCAGACTTTTGACCGCTTCGCCTTGGGCATTTTTAATCTGTAGCTCTGCTCTAAAGGAATGTACGTACCTGGGCCCGCCTACTACGCTTGCAAAGGTAAAATGATTGGCTGGAATCCAAAGTGTATGACATCACAGGAAAAAAAAGCACCGAAATAAAGCACCGAAATAAAGCATCGAAATGTGCGCTGCTTTTCGGTCTGCTTACTACCGTTTATGTCAGGTGCTTAAACGGTGCAGTGGATACCGGTACCCATCCCTAATCAATGATGGTGCCTCCAAAACAGTCTGTAGTTCCTTACTGTAACTCGTAGCTCTTGTTAGAGTTGATTATTTTAAGATTGGTATTTGTGCAAAGTCACATGACCATTGCTTGCATTTGTGTTGATAAAATGTTTTTTCCTTATTAGGTCGTAGCTCCTGTACATATATGAGATGCAAGCAGCCTCGTTGCTATAGTTTTCCATTGCACATTTAGAAACCACAAGGTTTTGTTCTTCGAAGGTGCAAGACTGCTCACTTCTTCTTTTTACATGCTTAGTGCACATGTTGATTCGTTAAAAGGTTGCCCTACATGGAGCGACTGGAGATCTTGTGAAAGGTCATGCCATATATGGTGTCAGGAAAATCACACACACAGACGCTGACGTTGCTCACATATGCTTGCCTTGAAAGTATAACCGTTTTCACTCAAATAAAAGGAGCCATAAAGGGATTGAGGTTTGGAGTTGGGTGAGCTTAGGTGAGGAGTGAATGACTCTCTCAGAGATCCTGGCCGGGATTTCCTTCTGACAAGTAAAAGATAAAAGCACTGTGGTTTTGCTCTGTTTACAAGAATCGGTCTCTGAGACAGCGAGGTCTGTGAGTTTAGACCTAACAGCTCTTTCACGTATGAAAAGTTTTTGGAATTTTTTCTGTTGATTTTAAACAGGCGCTCACAACTGTATGAGGCTTTTTGTGAAAAAGAACAAGAAAAACAGGAAAAAAAAGATAGGAATACTCTTTTGCCAGGACAAAGAGCAGCTGCTCCTTGTGTCCGCACCGCCATTGGTTAGGAATGACAGCTGTGGATTAATCAGGGTCCCCTCTCTTTGAATTAGGAAAGGTCGGCAGGCTGCTCAGCACCCTGTGGAGGACCACGTATGAGCCGCCAGCCATACATTCAGTATCACTGTTTCAAAGGTGAAAATTATTACAGTTAATAGACTAAACCAGAGAAGAAGAAAACAGACGATACGATGAAGATCCTCAGTGTGGATCAGTATAATATCAGCCTTATGTCTGCAGTTTAGTGTCAGCACAACTTCCACATCATATTCATCTCAGCACAACTAAAACATGGTGACTGACCTCAGAGTTTCAAGTCCACATCCTGGACTCTCCAGAAAACCACACAGATGCTTCACTCCTGAATCCTGCAGATTGTTGTAGCTCAGATCCAGCTCTCTCAGATGGGAGGGGTTGGACTTCATTGCTGCTGCCAGATAATCCCAGCTCATCTCTGACAAACCACAGCTCCACAAACTTTATAAAGAATGAAAGATGCAAGTTTATTACAGAAAGTGTGTGCTTGAAGTCATTCAGTGTTTCATAATTTATTCAGAGCTGAAGAAAGTTCAGAGTGTAGAAGTTTCGAAAATGGAAACTCCAAACAGCTAAAGCAAACAGAACGCAGCTTAAAAAACCCCAACAATAACAGAAATAAATGTTCAAATTAAAGTTGTGCATTTCTAGAAAGAGTATTTTAAAGACAGCGTCGCTATTGATCATCTTCTGTTCAGTAAAAGTTTGGTTTTCCACATGTGAGTGTTTATGATGCACAGAAGACTGAGTGCAAAGAAGGAGCGAGGATGACAGAGAAATTGTACAAGAGCATCAACACCAGTGAGGAAATTTCCAGAAGGATTTTGGAACCTGTTGGATTAAATCAGAAAACCAAGTTGTTACAAAGAAACTCCATCATATTATTGCTTAGCATGTCCCAGGGTTCCTCTGGGATGTTTGGAACTTGTAGAAGTGCACCATTTTCTAATGATTATAGTCTAAAGTCAGAATATGACAAACTCACTAATAATTGATCAACAAATTGATTTACTCTGCCTTACAGAAACCTGTTTGCAGCAGGATGATTATGTTAGTTTAAATGAATCAACACCCC